TTATAACTAAGAAAATTTTCTGAACACCTTTTGCAGAGAACACCTTTCTGCGTAGGCGGCCTTCGGCCGCACTTAGGGATTATAACCCTCACAAAATAGAATTCTCTTTCTGTTTTGCGAAGAAAAGGAGCTGAACACCTTTTGCAGAGAACACCTTTGTATATTATTAATGCTTACTGGGTTATATCCTATCTTCATTTGTCTCTCATTCTTTTGCATATTTTGGAGTTTGACAGCTGAACTCCGCCATTTAATTTGCATATGCAACCAAAGTCAGACGCGTGATTTTGAAGGTGTTTTTATTTAATGAATTGTGATTAATTGATCAATATTAAAGTCGTAAAGCAAGTTATAACTAATCGAGTGAAGTGTAAACTGAAGGGGAATACAAAAATGTATTGGTGAAGTGGCTGCTTTAAGGAGAATAGTAGTGATAAATGTACGCTAATTTCCGAATTTTACAAAAAAGGACATATTTCAAACCCAATTTGTAAATAAATTTGCGACCAAAATTTACAAAAGTGAGTGTTGAAATAATGTGTAGACCCTTGACTACAAGTGTGTGGAATTTTTTTTGGATCGGGCCACCCCTTTGGACGGAATAGCCCGAAATAGTTGTGAGCGCTACTAAACCCCACCTAAATAAACTATTTTATGTTGAAAAAACTATGTGTTTGTGTAATAATAAAGTTAAATTATACGTTTTAATAGTGTTTTAAAAGTGGAAATCGGTGATTTAGTGCATTTTTGACGAGGTAATTGCTCATAGAAAACAACGATATTTAACAAGTTTTTTGTTTATAACTTTTAAATGGTTATTAGCCCTCCCCTCCGGATTGTTAATAAGGGGACCGAAACGCGTCGTTTGGTACCCCTCCCGACTTTTCCGGTCCTTTTTTAGCAGTTCCAGCCCTCTACTAGAGAATTACCCAAATTCCTTAAAAACTATAAGGTTGCGCGCTTTGAAACTTCATACAGGGAACTATTAGACTCCCCTCTACCTCCCATATTTTCCGTAATGCTGTACTCCGGGATTACCAATCTAAAGCCCACCCTTTGCATTGTTCAACTTCGCATTCAAGTTTTGGTTGAACGGCCTTTCAACTAATCGCTTTCAACAAAGTTGGTCGCCAGCCAACATTTAGCCATTCAACTTTTTTCGTGGAACCCTGCGTGAGTTGAAAGCAAAAGTTGAACGCAAAATCGCCTCGTTTGAACACCTTTTGAATATTGAATTTATCCTCCCGAAAAATTAACCTACCTGTTACACAATCTTCGTATCAACAGGAAGTCAAGAAAACGACAGTAAAAACGATTATATAAACATTTTTTAGGGTTTGGTTGGATCGAATATATGCTGAAAACTTATTAAACCTTACACATACCCCGAAACCTGTATGATGTACGAATATATTTCTGCCGAGTCAATTCCTGTATGAACGTCTTATAAACGGAAATAATTAATGGCAAGGAATTGAAATTTCCTAAAAATATTAATGCTAGTCATATTATCACGTCACGAATTTGGGTACAAAATATTTTTGAGTGATTAATAGCAACCACTTTGTGAATTAATCAATTATAATATGAATCATTTGATCTTTATTTCAGATTACTAGGCAGGCATACTTTGAAATTTATAAACTTGCTACGCCTAAGTCTCGTAAAATCCAAAAGGAATTAGGTTGATAACACTTTTAGTTAAATGCTCATACATACGCAGTAGTTTTAAACGTTCCACATCTCACTTTCTCGAAAATACATGTGTAAAAACTCTTAAATAATTATTTTCCACAAGGTCAATTGCTTGGTTAGATAACATCCTTTGAGGTTATGAAAAGCTCATAATTATAAGTCCAGGTGAAATTGTTGTAAATTCAAGCAAATCCACAATCTAGAATTTTCTAGTTTTACTGTTGCGAATAGTTCAGAAAAATATAGTTAAAAAGTTATAGGTAAGAAACGCCACTTACCCTAAGGTTAACACATCTAAGAAACTGAGACATAATATACCGTTATTAAACCACTTAAAATAATAGCAGCTACAATATGTAACACGCTTCTTTAAATATTTGCTGCAACAAAACTGGATGCAGTTTTCCCCGGCTTAGAAACCGCTTATACCTATGAAGTGCTACTTTAAAAATACCACAAAACAAAATACTTCAAGAGACCGGGACCGCAGAATTTTTTAGCAAATAATCGATACCAGCGATTTATAGAAGATGGAAAATTTCCATCGGTAGTGTTCATGAACCAAAAATACATGTGTGTCTTTCGTTAATGGGTAGTGTTCAAGTTCTGAACACCTTGAAAACGACGAGCTACCCAAAAAGGTGTTCTCTGCAAAAGGTGTTCAGAAAATTTTCTTAGTTATAA